GGGGGTGTCGCACACTGTCTCTCCCGCGGTGCCTTCTGGGAGTCGTAGTCTCAAACGTTCCATTCCCGGGGTGGCGCCGATCGGACTCCGCGTCCCAGAATTCTCTGCGCGAACCCTGGAGCACTTCCGCCCTGTTGTGAAGTGGGTGTCTCGGTGGGTGAGTCTGGGTGGCGGGGCGGGGGCAGCTGAGACTTGGGGTCTGGGCTGGAGAGTTAGGAGAAGGTGGTGTCACCAGGGGGGTCAGGGATGGTGAGAGTAGAGAAAGACGCTTTTATGCATGTGTATGTGTGGTGTATGGAGCGGTCAGAGGATGAAACGTCCGGAGATGGGAAGGGTCATAGAGGGGTCAAGGATGGGGAACGAGACAGAGGGCTCTGGGAGTGAGGAGGATCTCAGAAAGGTCTATAGGTGAAGAGGCCGAGAGAGATTTTGGAGGTGGGAGAATCATAGAAGGGTCTGGGGACCACAGAGGGAAGGACAGAGGGCCCTGGCAAGAAGTGAAGATAAGAGGGCCTGAGCTTGAAGCCTGACCTTAAAAATAGTGTTTCTGAATCTGCCTGTTCACCTAGAGCAAAACTGCCTGATCTTGTACCCCCCCCCCCCATACTTTCCTTAGTGATTGTTACCTCAGGATGCCAGTGAGTGGGACTATCTATTGTGCTCTGCCCCATCCCTGTACCTCTTTCCTTATGCCTGGTGGAAGTGAATGGCACCATTATCCACTTTACCCAGTTGCTGTCTCTGAGTCCTCTTGTATCCTTCCACATCCAAACCAAAAACCAAACCAGTTGCCTTCGAGTCGATTCTGTGTTGCAAAGTAGAACTATGCTCCTTAGGGTTTTCATGGCTGTAATCTTTTAGAAGCAAATCTCCAGGCTTTTCTTTGGAGGTGCCTCTAGGTAGGTTCAAACCACTAACCTTTTGATTAGTAGTCAAACATTTAACTGTTTGTGTCACCCAGGGCCTCTTCTACATCCAGAGGTCTTCAAATAGTTTCACTTTCCCTAATATGTTTTGAATCTGCCGCTTCATTGTCAGGATTTTTGCAGAAGCCTCCATCTCCCCACCTCCCCAGCATCGGCACACATTGCAGCTAGTGTGATCTATTTAACCCACAAATCCGAATGTGCCTTCTTTTGCTTCACAGCCTTCATTCGCTCCTACCACCTATAGAATTAAGTGCAAAACCTTAGCTTGATGTCCAAAATCCTTCATAAACTGTTAATCCTCTTTGCAGCCTCATCTTAGACTACTACCCCTTGTGTACCTGTGTTGTAGGACTGCAAAGTTTCTCCGCATTTCCTGGGTAGGTTGTTTGCTTCTCTGCTTGGAATACTCTCTTCTCCCATTCTCTGCCAAGAGAAGCACTCTTCCTTCAAGAACCAACTCAAGCATTACTTTGTTCAATTCCCTTAGGCAGATTAAGTCACCTCTCCTCTCCCTGGCTCCTTTTTTTTTTTTTTTTTTTTAAACTGCATTTACCATGTTAGATCATAATTATCTGTGACTTACTTGTTTCTTTCTCTAGACTAGCTTCTCCAGGACAGGAACAGTGTCTGAGTCACTGCTATTTCCCCAGTGCCCAGCCCAGAGTAGGCATCAGTAAATGCTTGATGAATGTGTGAATAAAGACCATCCAGAGTGAGCTTCACTGTACCAGGCTTGAAGACTGCTGCTTCCAGTGGGTTTCCAGGGGCATGAGCTTTAGTCTTCTCCTACCTGAGGCTGGTTTAGTACTGGAACCTCCCACTGGAACCTTGACCTGTTCACTCCTGCCTTAATGTTCTTTCCACTCTCCCATGCCATCTTCTCAGGAGTTTGGATGACTGACAGACCTGGAGGAGACTGTTTAGTGTGGTTGAGAAAAATGATGGGAGAAAATGAATCTGGCTCTGGATCCTAACTCTGCCACTTGCTAATTGTGGCTTATGGGAGATTAAGCCAAGGATGGCAAATAATGGAATGTGTGCTGCCACTTCCCCTTCTGTGTCTCTGGCAATGATGGCTAATTGGTTGCAGCAATTAGATGGGACTCAGAGTCCTCAGCACCCTACTTTAGGCAGCCACTTCAGTTGATTCAAATTGGCCTTTAAATGAAACCTATTTGCCTCCCTTGGCTTAAGCCCTGGCTGCTTTAAACCATACACTGGATCGTCAGCCAAGTGGGCCTGACAGCCTCTGGGAGCTTCCAGTTTCTTTCTTTTTGGAGGTTACAGAGTAGTCCTACCCTTTCCCTTGGGACTAGGGTGGTATCTTAGTTATCTAGTGCTGCTGTAACAGAAATGCCACAAGTGGATGGCTTTAACAAAGAGAAATTTATTTCCTCACAGTAAAGTAGGCTAGAAGTCCAAATTCAGGTCGTCAGTTCTAGGGGATGGCTTTCTCTCTCTGTCGGCTCTGGAGGAAGGTCCTTCTCATCAGTCTTCCCCTGGACTAGAAGCTTCTCTGCGCAGGAACCCTGGGTCCAAAGGACGCACTCTGCTCCTGGCACTGCTTTCTTGGTGGTGTGAGGTCCCCCTGTCTCTCTGCTCACTTCTCTCTTTTATATCTCAAAAGAGGTTGCCTCAAGACAAAATCCAGTCTTGTTGATTGAGTCCTGCCTCAGTAACAGAACTGCTACCTATCCCACCTCATTAACATCATAGAAGTAGGATTTACAACACATAGAAAAATCACATCAGATGACAAAATGGTGGACAAGCACATGATACTGGGAATCATGACCTAGCCAAATTGATACACATATTTTTGGGGGACACAATTCAGTCCATGATATTCTACCCTTTGGCCCCCCCAAATTCATGTCCTTGCCACATGTAAAAGATATTCACCCTATCGTATCATAACAAAAGTCTTAACTCTAAGTCCAAAATCCAAAAATTCCTCTTCATTTGTGAAATCTAGAATACAAGTTATCTGCTTCCAAAGGTACAATGGCAGAACAGGCACAAGCTAGACATTTCCATTACAAATGGGAGAAACTAGAGGAAAAGAAGGGATAACAGGCACCAAGCAAGTTAGCAGAATAAATTAGGCCTCAAGGCTTTGAAAATAATCCTCTTTTGTCTGAGACAATTTAAACAATGGCCTTGCCCTCCAGCCACTAGGTATTGGCCACACTCTCCGGATTCTGGTGGAGGCTCCTTGGCCCTGGGCTTCAGCTCCACCTTCCAGGCCCACTGGAACTGCATCTCTGTTCCCTCGGCTTTAGGCACACCCTTTTCCCAGTCTATCTGAGTGGCATCTCCACCCTTAGAAACAAGAGTCCATGGATCCACCCTTTGAAACCCCAGAGGTTGTGGCCATACCTTTTGAGACAGGCAGCTCAGCTTCCTGTGTTCCTTGTCTCTTCAGCTTCTGCTTCCTAGTTCCTTGGCCTCTCGGCCCCTCAGTCCTCAAGCCCGCATCTGCCCTGTTGGGGCAAGTGTTCCAAAGCTCTGTAGCTCCACTGATAAGTGCCTGCAAGCACCTACTCCGCCAATAAAGTTCGGCTGGAAGGCACTCTTGCTCCATTGGTTGGCAAGCCTAGCTCCACTTTTAAATGCCCGGAGGCACCCTACTCTCTTGGTACCAAATTCTGTCTCGGTTATCTAGTGCTGCTATAACAGAAATACCACAAGTGGATGGCTTTAACAAAGAGAAGCTTATTTCCTCAGAGTAAAGTAGGCTAGAAGTCCAAATTCAGGGCATCAGCTCCAGGGGAAGGCTTTCTCTCTCTGTCAGAGTAAAGTAGGCTAGAAGTCCAAATTCAGGGCGTCAGCTCCAGGGGAAGGCTTTCTTTCTTTGTCAGCTCTGGAGGAAGGTCCTTCTCATCAGTCTTCCTCTGGACTAGAAGCTTCTCCTTGCGGGAACCCTGGGTCCAAAGGATGTGCTCTGCTCCTGGCACTGCTTTCTTGGTGGTATGAGGTCCCCCTGTCTCTCTGCTCACTTCTCTCTTTTATATCTCAAAAGAGGTTGCCTCAGGACACAGTCCAATCTTGTAGATTGAGTCCTGCCTCACTAACACAACTGCTACTTACCCCACGTCATTAACATCATAGAGGTAGGATTTACAACACATAGAAAGATCACATCAGATGACAAAATGGTGGATAATCACACAATACTGGGAATCATGGCCTACCCAAATTGATACACATATTTTTGGGGGACACAGTTCATTCCATGACAGGTGGTTCCCACCATTCACTGGGTAGGCTTCTCTTGTCCACATGCATTCTCACTACCCCAGGCGCCACGATGCCACTCAGCTTCCCTGTGCTTGTAGAAGGATCCTGATTTTGACAGGAGTCAAAACCTATCCCTCATGGCTTGGGAGAATCTGTACTGTTTCTAAGTCTTCCTAGATAGTGGGAAAAATAATTGAGATCATTTAGCTCAAAGGTGGCAAAGAGCAGCCTGTGCTGAATGAAGCCCATCTTCATGCTTTCTTTAATCCTCGTGGTGTTTGAAACAATTTTGAGTTGGTAGCCAGCATTTAAAAATGCACAGTTCTGCCTTCTCTTGGAAAACTTGGGAGGCCTGGGAATACTGGGCCCATGTTTCCCCTGGTATGCTGTAGGTAGCTACAGTCCCCAGCCAGCCCACTTCATTCATTAACATTATTTGCCTGGTCCCTGTACCTTTAAAATTTGTAGCCACTAATTGGGGAACCTAGGGCAACTGCCAAGTGTGGCCAAGCTATAAGCTGTGGCCTAGATAGGCAGCAGTAGGGACCACATGACCTGCCCAAAGTCACATGGCTGATAACTGGCAGGAGAGGAACTGGAACCTTGATCTGCTAACTCCAGCTTTAATGTTCTTTCCACTCTCCCATGCCATCTTCTCAGGAGTTTGGACGACTGGCAAACTTGGAGGAGGGTATTTAGTGTGGTTGAGAAAAATGATTGGAGAAAATGAATCTGGCTTTAGATCCCAACTCTGCCGCTTGCTAATTGTGTAACCTTAAACAAGTAATTTTTCTTCATTGAAGTTCCATTTCCCTAAATGTAAATTGAGTATATAGTGGAGTCATACCTTACAGGATGATTACATTCTAAAGTCAGCACAGAAGGTGAAAAATCACATGTAGTCAACTTGAAAATGTTTTGGCAAGGAGCCATTTCGGAAATTAACACACTTTCTTTCAGTAGGCCAACCAGGATAGCTGGGTT